TACTACTAAAATGCGATAAAACCGAGGAACGTCCAAGCTTTAAAGCTTTGTCTGTTGACTATCCACAGCTATTTGTAAGTGATGTAACAAGCAGTTGGTTTCGACCTATGAAATGAAAATTGTTTTCTTCATCTGAGCTGAAATATTTTTCTAGATTATAACCTTTAACCTTTGTGATGGTCAACTAACTGAAGACACGATCCTCGAAGGCGACCTGAAGTTAAAGAAATTACAGGAAAGAAGCATGACTGATATCATCCTAGATACTAGTTGGGAACTGTAACCAACTGAGCTGCGAAGCCAATTTTAAGAGCAAGGCAAAATTAAGAGGGCTCTTTTCTCCCGTAAAGAAATCTGGTCACAGTTTAACTCTATTTTCTCTAATTGACTCTCTTTTGACTCTAATTTCTTTAATTTCAGCCCAATTGTGAGGATAATTTCTATTCTTGAACATTATTTGGAGGTGAAACATTTAATTGCATTGGGATTTGTAGTGGTCAAAAATAGAACAATGCGTGACTTTGGTATGGCCCTTGAGGATTTTCATATCCTGATAACTTGAACACCGAGTAACGGGTAAAGACTGGTATAGTTGGAAGAGAGACTTTTTAACACAGATTATGTCTTTGCAACAACTAGTCATACTTAATACTCTTTGTTAGCAGCTCCAACTCTCTCTCTGTCTGCTAGAAAACTATTAAGTTTGCCTTTGCCGTTTTAGGTGTTCTCACTAACACACAAATGTGCCTGTCCCAATCTGTGTCTTTATAAACACATCACACCTTCTAAGCAGCCAGGTCCAAGTAATCCAAGTAAGTTCAAAGTTTAAATCGTTATTAGACTTACATGACCAAATTGGTTAACATTGTAATTTTTAGCTTCCTCAGCATGCCATGTGATGCAAATGCATTCACTCACTTAATTATCTGAGTCCAAATGTATGTGATGGCAGGCGTGACACATGCCATCTCACCGATTTCTTTCAAAGTTTCACAGTTTATAAGAGTCAATAAGTTATTCAAGAATCCAGAGAGGTTCGGAATCGCTGTGCTACGGAGTCGCGGTGCAATTTACCTCAGGGATTTGATGTGGGGGCTCTAATACCTCAGGGATTAGCCGCGAGCCCGAACTTCTCTGGATTCTTGAATAACTTATTGACCCTCATAAACTGTGAATTTTGAAAGAAATCGGTGAGATGGTATCTGTCACGCCTGCCCGGTTCTCTCGTGGACAGACCCTTCACAAACAGCGTATGAAATTGATCATTAAGGAAGATGTTTACTCAGTTTACGTAGATGTATTGAGCTTGGTGGTGTATTTTCTGAAGTATACCAAGCGTTGACGTTGCTAGCGTTACGTGCTCATAATATCTACTTCTTCAATACTACTGAAAACGAGCCCACGAAGCGCCAGGAAACCAATCTTTTTAACGTTCAGAACTTGAAATGGATAAGGGTTTTCAGGCCAACTAACGTTATATCCTGCCGAGAGAGTGATTTCAATCTAATTTTTTCTGAAAACGTTTTCAGATGATAACAACGTGGTCAGCGTCGTTGCAGGTAGTTTTGGTAGCCTTGTTTTCGTTGCGTGTATCGTCATGGTAATCCTTGTGATTGTAAGGAGGATGAATAGACCGAATCCTCAGAATAGAGGGGAAGATCAACCCATTTTGCCTGAACCAGCCACCATAAATCGATTTTCCAGCATCGAACGTTTGGGGAGGAACTCACCTTCCGGAACGTTCTTAGATTACTCACAGTTTGAGAATGAAATTACAGAGTCACAGGAGGATCCTCCTGACGGTAAAAACAAATCTGGTGCGGGGAATCGGTGCTGAGGGTATCCACTGGTGTATTATCAAAACTTTTCGCAGCTTTTAAGCATGGTCCAGATATTATAATATTAGGATCAAAAAGTATCTTTATACGGATTGTTTCGAAAAGAAGGATTTATGGCTGCATGTTCAATTCTTAAATTTTAGTGTAGATTTCCAACATACGGTGATTTTACTGATTGCTCAGCTTTTCTGTTGACATGACATTTGCCACAACCAGTG